GCATGTTTGCACTCATCTGGATGCACCCATGGGTGATTTGAAGAATTCTGCTATGCTGCAAGGTCCAGACATAATGCTGGTTTCACTGAGACTGGCTAGGGGACAGTAGTGCCCCCAGGAAAAAGATCTGGTTGGAGCCCCAAGAACACCCAAAAGAATAGTTGGGGACAAGGCTTGGGGTTAGGTCAGCATAAGGTTTGTCACAATCATGTGTCTTATTTTTGTGATTCCTTTTTAAAGCCCAGTTTCTGGAGTCATGACATTGCACGGAAACATCTTTCTTAAATTATATACCGGCAGATATTTCCATTAAAAAAATTAAAAAATAATGGTCCAGACATAAGGACATATGGTCCAGAACATATGGACATATAAGAACATATGGTCCAGACCATAACGGCTAATGGTTCAGACACAAGGACTCAAAATCACAATCTTGAAAGACCATGAAATATAAAATTAAATGTTAGTTATGTATGTCCCTTCCAGTCTGCGTATCCACAAACATGAAAGCTAAAAAAAAAAAAAAAAGGAAGAGAGAGGTTTTTTTTTTTTTTTCTTCATATTTGGGCATGTGCAGACCAGAAGGGACATAAATAGCCAACATCAACATTTAATTTTGTAATTCATGGCCTTTAAGGATTGTGATGTTTGAGTGCTTATATCTGGCAGTTACTGAGAGTAGTATGGTAACATTTCATAACTATGTCATTGGAACATTAGTTAATTTTTTTTATGGACATACCTGCCATTATATAATTTCCTAAGATATGGCATTGCTGGGACAGGTGCCCAGGATTTGCCCTTCTGGGTTTTATTTGTAGCATAGCCACTGACTGAAATTATGGGAAAAAATAATTTTCTCACTGAGCCGATCTCTTCATCTCTTTGAAGATTTAATATGTGCTTCCAAAGAGTTCTGGATGTCTAGGAAATGCTTCATAATCCACACTAAGAAAATGTAAAAAAAAGCCTGAGGTGGAAGCAAATGGAGGGGCTACTTTCTTGGTAGTGGGATGAGGAAAAAAGCAATATTGACATGCCCTTGTATTATTTAATCCCTTACTCACATTATGCACCTCTGGTCTCTTCTTATTCTGTTCATTCTTTTTGTTTTCCTTCAGAATTCATTTGTGCCTTCCCCATGAGACAGGCCTCCACTGTGCCAAAACTATTAAGTCTAGAACCTCTACAGACTAGAGAGGTTCCTCATAGCCACTGTACGTCGGAGCAGCTCTTTTCTCCAATGGACGTCTTCAAGATCAATATCATCTTCAAGATCAAGCCTGCAAATCTGTTCTTGTGGCTTTTGGTGCTTCTCCCTGATGTTTTGGCTTCTGCCACTGATAAAATGGCAGAAGGAAGGGCTGTAGAGCTAATGAAGCAAGCCCGTTTAATCGATGGGTATATAATGTGTCTTATTTTCAAATAGGTCCAAGCAACTTAAGATTGTTAGTAATCCTAAATCAGTGATCTAAACACAAGGTATCCTTAAATATTGAATATACCATATTTACACAAATATAAGATGAATCACCCAATAATTACATTCTATATGCAGAAAACTTATACATTTGTTATATTTTTTTCAGGTATAGAATTTAATTAATTAGAGGGGGTTTTGGGTGAACAGTTTGGGGCCCCATTTGGTGATGTTTGCCAGACATTTAAGGCTGGTGAAGAAACAGGAATAATTGAAAATGGGAAAGAAAGGCACAGTTCAGCTATGGAAGTGAAGAGGAAACAAAAATGTATGCAATTTAGTGGCTCACCATGACTTCAAAAAGAGTTAGCAGTGAGGGGAAGTGTGGTTAATGGACACTATTATTTATTTTATTCAAATGAGCTATGTTAATCTATCTTTGTGATGGGTTCCCATTAACATCTCATTTTTTTGGCTAAGATCAAATGTAGCACAATTGTGTCCTGCATGTCACTATTTGTAATCGTGTGTGCGCCTAGAAGCCAACTCCCTACTTGAATGTGGCACTGTTGTATGGGGTTTATTGTATATTCTTTTCTGTATAAGCAACGTGTTTTCCCCCCTCTCCTCCTTGCCACTGCTTTTCCCCCTTCTGACCCTCTGACACCCAAGCTTAGCTGGCTGCATGTTCCATATGTAACTTAGTTGTGTTGACACCCCTACCCCCACCCTCTACTATGCAGCCCTTTGCTTAGGTCTTCTGTATCTCCTTATGCCTTGAGCTTTGCCATCTTGGACTTTAACATTTTTGGCACCAAGCAGAGGATGTTAGAGCTGACTCTGGCTCTCCTAGTGCTGGCTTGGTATTTCAATACCTCCAGGCCTGGTGCCAGTTCCCTGAAGAAGGAACATCTATACATTTTTTTTAAGGACCACACACATGTATGCTAGGGCTGTGTGAAGCTTTGGTCCCTGATTCGATTCAGCGGAGATTCAGCCTGACTCAGTGGCCAAATCTCCAAGTCCAAAATGAATCAAAGGACCGTTTAATCTTTCTGAATTGAATTGGAACCCTCCAAATTGATTTGGAGAGATTTGGAAAGATTCAGCGATTCAGACATAGACACACCTTTAAATATTTTTTCTACATACCTCTAGGTAGCAGGCGGCTCATGAATGCTGCAATGCTGAGGTGCATGGATTGTCCCATGGGAGTGTGGGGGGGCTCCCCAGTGCATTTGGCAGCACTTCTGGTCCACTTCTGGGTCTACCAGAGAGCAGGCTGGAGGGACCCCCAGCACCCCCCCCGGCTCAGTGACTGGTGCCTCCTGGGTCAGGGGGGGCACCTGGGGTCCTCCCATAACTGATTGCCGAGGTGGGGCAGGGGAGCCACCAGCATGCTCCCTGGCGGACCTGGAAGTGGACCAGAAGTACTTCTGGTCCACTTTTGGGTTTGCTGCCAAGCACTTGGGGGGACCCCCATGCTTCTGTGGAACACTCCATTCACCCCAGCATTGCAGTGTTCACGAGCCGTGGTGGTACCTTGAAGTATGTGGAAAAAACATTTAAAGCCGTGTCTATGGCCGAATCGCTCATTCTCTGAATCAGCATCACATTTTCAGATTCGGATTCAGCCAAATCAAATCAGGGACAGTGATCCAAATCAACAAATCGAATCACTGTCCCTGATTCAGGCCGAATCTGAATCAAATAGGGCCCATTTCACACACCCTTAATGCACAGACACACTAAAAGGTTCACATCAGCATATTTACCCATTATGGGCCATGTGTTTTATAATCATGCTCAGTGTTGGCTGCATTTAATCAGCTAGGAAGTTGGTTTCCATTACTGAGCACATGCTGCTTTTGGCAACAGTTTCATGATAGACAGTGTATTTAATGAGATTCTCTTGTATGCAATTATAAGACAAGGGGCTTTTTTCCCCATGCCAATTGTGGGGGAAAAACCTCATCTTGTATTTGAGTAAATATGGTATCCTCTATGCAGTTAAGTAGATAGGGGGATCAAGCACAAGCTCCATACTTAGGGGGATTAATACTGGGTTCAAAAAGAGCTGAGGGATAATAATCAACTGTTTAAATAAAAGAGTCTAACATAATAGGGTCCAATACCAGGTATAGCAAGCATAATGCTTAAATGTTAAGTTGCAGTTTCATTTTTCACTTTTTTGTAAAGATCTCATTACACCTTTTATGTGCTGTAATAAGAAATGAAGAGTCACATCTGCTAGGACCTGAGCAGCAAAATGGCTTCTGATTTCAGGACTGGGCCTTCAAAACAGAGTTCTGTAAATTGTTTCGTGTTGGCAGCTGTCATTGATGAGTGCCCAGGTGACAGTATAATGTGTTTTTAAAGGCCAGAGGTATAAGCAGCACCTGATGCATTTTTATATCAATCTCAAGGGGTATTACTTCATATTTAAAGGGTATAATATATACACACTAATTTAGATTAACTTGATCAAGCTACATTAATTCAAGTATTCTCACATTTATTTATTTACCTTTCCATCATACAATCCCACCATCTTTTTCAGCTATGTTTTTAGCTAATATTTGCCAATGATTATAAAGCAGGCAACCTGACCTGAAAGGATGCCCATATAGCTATAAAGAACAATGTTTGTGTTCAGTCTGACCTGACTCAAAAATATAAAGAAAATCAGTCAAGTGAGCCTCTAAAATAGAATTTGCCTTCAATAGTCATGGCTGCTAATCTTAGATCCCACATCCCATCAGAAACAGTAGAAACGGAGCCAAGAGAAAGAAGTGGAGAGAGGGACAGGAGAGAAACTTAAGCACCAAGAATAGAAAGGGCAGGAACCTTCAGGGCAGCAGAAAAAAGATTCCCAGGAAAGATGTCTGTTTCAGAAAGCGAGGCTCTTTCCAAGCAAACACCATTGAAAGGATGTTGGCAGTTAACATAAGATTCACAGATACACAGAAGTTTAGGGCTGGAAGGGACCTTGTGAGATCATTGGGTCCAGCGCGCCCCCCCCCCAGGGCAGGAAAGATTAAAAGTAGATGAATAAATAAATAAACATTTGAGATAGGAAAGGACCGTCTTATTTGTATCTTCAATACTATTTATTCTACTTTTTAGGCACAACGACCTTGCACTGCAGCTGAGGATACAGTATCAAAACAAAATCAGTAGAATCAACTTAATGAACCTTACCACCACACACACAAACATTCAGAAGCTTCAATCTGGATATGTTGGAGCTCAGGTATGTGCTATCAATGCACATAGCTGATAGGAACCTCTTTGAATATGTTTGCCCTATATTTGTATTTGTATACTTGTTCTGTGGTTGGATTTGAGCAAAATTCATATCCGCACGCAGATTTTCACTAGGTCAGATGTTGAATGTGCCAGATGTTAAGGAAATCTGGAATTTGGGTTCAGCCCATTGTAAAGAAAAACAAAACCCCTATGGCTACAAATGTTTTTCCTACAATATTTGTGTTTATCAGACTTTTACATTTCTTTGTTTCAGAATCAGCTATTCTTGACCAAAGCAAAAATTCATTTTTTAATGTCAGCTGAATTAAAACTTGTTTAATTATTCTTTCCTGGAAGCTCTGTGGGAATGACTGAGAGTGATGACAGCTTGTAATCATTCTTGAAGATTGTGTTCTTGAATCAAAATAGGAAGTGTTTTTTAGAAATCTTGTGATGCAATCTCCACTAGATAGTGCACAAGGGAAACATGATTTTCATGTTTCTGATCTTTTTGCTCAACTGTAGTTCACGAACACAGAAGTTTTATGGTTTGGCAACAAAGGTTATCTGGTTTAATCTCTGTTCATGTCTTTCAGTTTTGGTCAGCATATGTTCTTTGTAGTGCTCAGAACAAGGATGCTGTGCGGCTTACTTTAGAACAGATTGATGTTATCAAGAGGATGTGTAGCGAATACGAAGAACTTGAATTTGTTACAACCTCCCAAGGTGATACTAGTTTTGTGATTAAAAAATGTTTCATTAAAGAGGTTGCATGAGGCAGTTCGTGAGTAGAAGCACATAGCAAATTGATAGTCATGGTAGTTTAATGGTAGTCTGCTGCTCAGTGATATAGCACTAACTCCTTGTCCGTCACTAACTTACTCTGGAAATGTCTCCCTTTTAAATTCCAGGTATTGTGGACAGTAAAAAGATAGCATGCTTGATTGGAATAGAGGGTGGTCATTCCATTGACAGCAGTCTGGCAATGCTGAGGGTGTATTATGACCTTGGTGTTCGGTACATGAGTTTAACACACACCTGCAATACTCCATGGTAACTGATGTGCATCTATTTCTGTAACTCTAGTTTTGTGATTTCTGACAGGGGAATTGAAGAAGGGTGACTTGGGGATAGGTCAGCTTGTTATGTGGTGGGTTGAAGATGAAGAATCTATCTGTCCTTCCACATCCTGCAACTTCTTTTAGGATCAGTCCACAGAATTGAGCAGTGTCAAGGATATTGTTACAATCTACCAAATGTTGCCACGGCCATATTTTAGGGAAACTATTTCTAGAAGTGTGAAGAGTCCACACTGATTCTGTTCTGAGTCTCATGAGTGGTATCATGTGTCCCACAGAAATTCAGTTATAGCACTTGGGCTCCCACCAGAAGGGAACTTTTGAGTGAAATGGTCAAATGGCTTGTGCAACAGATTGAGGACTACTCCTCTATTGATATATATACTTGTGACGTAGACAGATTACACTGAAAAACTAAGCCAATGTCTTTATCAGAGGCCACTGAAAAGCCTTTGACCAATAACATCAGGTGCTGGATGAAAACTGAAGATTTAAAAAACTAAAGGCTGAAAATCATATTTTTAATTCCCAAACCAGTCTCATGTACAGGTGAGAACAGTTAAATAGAGAGAGAAACTCTGGTCAATCTGACTCTTTCTATTTATCCATCTTAATTTTATCACATTGGCCTCTGATCATCTGTTTGGCTGATGATGCCAGACTCAGCTTTCTGTAGGGCCTCCTTAGGCAGCCATCCCTGTATCTTCCTACTTTGATATAGTCTTTGTAGGTGCATCTACATGTGTCCTTATGATGTCTTTGTTACTGCGCTGTCATTTAGTACTACCTTTTGGTAGGATAGCGCAGTAACAGCCTGTACTGCGCTGTGTGCACAGTGCATGGTCATGGTTATTTTTAACTGCTATGTTGCCATAGCAACGCACTATAATGAGGAATTGTGTTGCTATGGCAACATAGTTGTGGCCTCTTGGTTCTTGCCTGTGGATGCTACATTACGACAGCACATTGCTACAGCAATGTAGCATCACATGTAGACATGCCCTGTATCTTGTTATATTATACATGAGCAGCACTTCCTGGACTAGTCCTGAAGGCAACCGCTGTCATTCAAATGAATTTTACACACCCACTTTTACCAGGACATAAGAAATAAGTCAATCAAAGTATTCTTTACTATGCAATTAAAAAAAAATAACCCCTGTCCATGTTGTTCTGCAACTGCCTCAGCACTGTTCACCAGCCTTGATCAGATTGGCATCTTTAACTTGACTATGGGACTTCAGGGTGGTGTGTTTTCCCATATTAGTGTGAGATCTTTTCTGAATCTAACTTGCAAGAACAACAAGATTTTATCTACCTTTTTCTTTTTTTCTGAAGGTCAGAAACTTCATCAAAGCAGATTTATAGCTTTTATCCCCATATTGATGGTCTGAGCAAATTTGGCAAAGTAAGAATCTTTCTTGAATGGCAATCTAAACAAACTTTTACATCACTAACAGCTTTACAAATTCTGATTCTGTTTTTTGAAAAACAGCTTGTCTTAAAAGATGTAATAACTAGATCTTGGCCTTCTTACAGTCTGTACCATTTTTCCAGAAGGAGTTGAGGTCAGAGGAAATGTCAGAGGATATGTGAGAAGGCATGCTGAAATTTTGGAAATTGTGCTTGTAACGTTGAAAAAAAAAATTAAGGAGCAAATAGTCTCAGATTCTGTCAAAACGAATGAAAAATAATTTGGCAAATGAGTACAGGTCTGTTTTAGAATAAGATGCACAACAAGCAGGAAATTGTGATATCTTGTATTAACAGTAGCATATGGTGAAGTATACAGTGTTGTTGAGCTCTATTTATTATGTAGGGTAAGGTGTGGTTCCCCTTTGCCAATACTTGCACAGGTTGTCTCGACTAACCCAAGTAGTCATAGTTTTATAGAAATAAAAGCCAGAAGGGACCATTAGATTATCTAGTATGACCTCTTTGATGTTATGGGCCATAACATTTAACCACATACCACATATCAAGTACCAAAACTTTAACTGGGGCAAATATATCAGAAGGTGAAGGGAAAAGATGCTATAAACCTACCAGAACTGAGGGCAGAATTCCTTTCTACTCTTTACTGAGGACTGACTAAAGTCCTGAGGCATAGGATTAAATTATAATTAAAGCAGAGGTGTGAGCACTAGGAGCATGTTGAGGGCATGGAAGTCCTGATGGATGTGATGGGGTTACCCACGTAAATAAAAGTGTGGGAGACCAGGTTCTATGTAACTTATTTCTTGGTAATATGTAGATAAGTCCTTTAAGACTTGGTAACTGTATTTAGCATCATAGGGGAGATATGATATGCTAGTTTTTATCCACTGGAAGCCATGTTGTTCATGAAAACCAGGAAAATAGAGAGCCACACAACTATAGCAATTTTATGATTGGCTGGCATCCACAAAATCCAAGCATTTAATTATACACACTAGATAATGTGTCACCTTTATATATGTATTACTAATATTGCTGTCTGTAAATCTGTGTTAGGAGGTAGTGAAGGAGATGAACCGCCTGGGGATGATGATAGATTTATCCCATACCTCAGATTCTACAGCAAGAGCAGCTCTCAACATTTCTAAAGCACCAGTCATTTTCAGTCATTCTTCTGCCTTTTCTGTTTGTAATCACTCAAGAAACGTTCCTGATGATATTCTTCGAAGTCTGGTGAGTAATTTGAAAAAAATGTATAATTTCTGGTTGGCCTGAATCAACATCTGAAATTAGTTCAGTGTTACAGGTCAGTCGCATCTTACGTGGGGGTTAGGTGCTGAAGTCAGCATGTAAAGCGAAAATCCCGTAAGCCTAAAATCGGTGACTATACATGGGGTGGGAGGGTGGGCGGGGCTTGAGTTTGCACGTGGCGCCATGCTTAGAGCTGTGCGGCCGGTGGTAGTGGCACAGCGCGGGGTGGTGGTGGGGATGGCTGTGTGCCATCCGGCCACCACCACGCTGCCACTGCCACCTGGCAGCCAGCCACACAGCTCCGGGCATGGCTCCATGGCGACAGTGGGAGGTTTTGGAGGCAGTGGCCGTCACTGCCATAATAGGCCTCCAGGTAAGTGGCTGCACCGCGTGCAAGCTCAAGCCCCGCCCCCTTCCTACCCCACGTATAGTTGAATTCATGCAAGTTAAATGTGCGTATGATGCAACTGACCTGTACTTGTAAACAAATCCCTAACCAACAAGTTATGCATTTACCCCTCTGGCTATTGCTTTGAATTAAGTTTCATGTAGCACCTCAATGATTGAAATGATTTGGGGTATATTGAGAAGAAACATTGTTAATGAGAGGAGGCTGAATTGGTCTGACTTGTAACCATGGAGTTTTGGTCACTTACATCGAGTGACTTAGATTTGAGGTCAGGTATAAAGAGGCCACCCCTTGTGTGAAACTATGGGTGGAGGTGTATTCATCCACTGCTGGTTGGAGTGTGACCAGGGCATGGGGACTGTGAGGATTGCAGAATTTCTGAATAGCCATTCACAGTATATCCCCCTCTCTTTTTCTTTCAGGAAAAGAACAATGGAATTGTGATGGTGACCTTCCAGACTCAAGCACTGGCCTGTGGCACTGACAACGTGAATGTTTCTACTGTAGCAGGTTTGAAGTTGATATATCGATCTCTTATAGGCTCAGATCAGGTGTAGTTTTTAGTGATGATTTTCCCCATAAATTTCTGAAGAATATGGGCCACACTTCATGTGTGAATCTGCTGATGGAATTTATATCCATGTTATATAAATTATACCCACTCACATATTTACCTGTTACTTGTAAATCTTGTCCTCTTTAGAACTTTAATTATTGAGCAATAAGAAGAAATGCAGGGCATGAATGAATCACTGGAGGAAATGATAACCTGAAGTGAAGCCAAGAACCATTCATTAAGCCTCAGAATGGTTGTTAATTGTCAGGAAATGCCCTGAACCTGAGTAGTTAATAAGAGAGTGGAAAACCCTATGGATGTCTAGAATATAATGTATAATGCAATTTCCATTGCTGTGCACAAAGTATTTCTCAAGAATTCATGTCCTTCACATTAGTTAGCCATATTCCTCAAATTACATTAGTTCTGTTATTATTCATGAGATTGCTAGCTAGTGCACTGAATATAAATATCAAATTAGCTATAAAGGGTTTGTCACTTGCATCACGGAATTTAAACCAGTATTATAAATGTGTCTTTAGACTTCATGTTTATTTGAAATGTATGCAGTATTAATATAACATTATGGGGCATCTCAACCAAACATTGGTGTCTGAAATAGGTTGTTTCTCCTTGCCATGTGTTTAGACTTTCTCTTCTTTGATATTTTATTCTAGATCATTTTGACCACATAAAGAAAATTGCAGGTTCAAAATCAATAGGAATTGGCGGTGACTACGATGGAGCGCAGAGGTTAGTAAAACTATATGTTAATTCAGCATAAAGGACATTTATACACATGCTACGGGAGTGTGGGGGGCTGGGGTGCTTTAATTATAGTGGCTACGAGAGCCAGTTTAATTAAAGCACCCAGAGCATCAAGTGTATCAGTGTCCCAGTGCTGAAAAATGGTGGCAGGGGCACTTTAACTAAAGGTTGTTGAACGAGCTTTAGTTAAAGCGCCATTGCTGCCATTTTTCAGTGCAGTAATGCTGATTCTTATGACACTGGAGTGTGCTGGAGCACAGTAATTACCGCACTCCAGCAGGCTTAATTAATTTAGTCTGCGCCGATGTGCTGTAATTACAGCATGTTGGAGCAGCCTCACTGCTCGTGTATAGGCGCCCATAGTTTTCTCCTTAAACTGTTAGGTTTTTCTTTTAATTTTTTGCAAGAGGCAGCCAAGAACAACTGTATTTTATAGAAGCTACAAAAAAATTGCTACATTTTATCAGACAGGAATGTGATCATTTCCTTCTCATCGGGGTGCTTATCTATTGGGTAGGGAGTGAAAATCAGCTAGCCAGGACTTTGCTGACCTCTGCACCTCATGACACCTTCCCTATAGTCAGGATTTCTGTGAACAAAGGTAGGGGAAGGAGAATGCTGGCAGAAAAGCTAACACAGCCTCAAATGGGAAGTCTTGTGTATTTAGTGTTTCACATTTCAAAATGGCAGCAGGGGCGCTTTAACTAAAGCTTGTTGGACAAGATTCAGTTTAAGCATCCCTACTGCTATTTTAAAACATGGGAGTACTGAATGCATAAAATGCTGCAGGATGCTGGAGCCTTCTGAATAGACTACTTCAGCAGACTTGATTAATAAATGTGTAAAAATTGCCACTGGGACTAATTGGTGATCTCTGTTACATAGGATCTATGAGTCTGGAGGTCAACCCTCTCTGCATGCTTTGAGGTTAGGAGCATGCAATTGGATTTCTATTTCTTGATTTCCTGTTTGTTCTTCTTGATGACACTGAAAGATCCAGTGTGTAATCAGATGTGTAACAAATCTAGCCTGCTTGTGAATTATTGGCTTAACTTTAAAACTTTCCTGCTTTCATAGGTTCATAGTTTCATAGTTGTTAGGGACTGGAAAGGGAACTTACAGATCATTGGGTCCAGCCCCCCCCCGCACTTGGGCAGGAAAGACTGCTGGGATCAGATGACCCCAGCAAGATGGGCATCAAGATGTTTTTTGAAAATCACCAGGGTGAAAGACTATACTATCTCTGCGGGGGAGCCTGTTCCAAACCCTCCGCACTCCACTTGTAAATATGTTTTTCCTTATGTTTAGCCCAAAGCAATCTTCAGTCAGTTTGTGCCCATTATTTCTTGTCCTCCCCAGGGGGCCTTGTTGAATAGACACTCCCCCAAGCCCTGATGTACGCCCCTAATTTACTTAATACTTATAGACTGCCATCAAGTCCCCTCCGAGTCTTCTCTTCTTCAGGCTGAACAGTCCCAAGTCTTTCAGCCTCTTCTCATATGACTTGGTCTCTAGGCCTTTAATCATGTATGTGGCCCTCCTCTGGACTCTCTCGAGCTTCTTCACATCCTTCCTGAAGTGCAGTGCCCAGAACTGAACACAGTACTCTAGCTGCGGTCTCACCAAGGCTGAGTAGAGCCGGAGGATGACATTCTTAGCCTTGTTTGAGATGTCTCGGTAGATGCATGCCAGTGTTTCATTAGCTCTGCCAGCTATGGCATTGCATTGGTAGCCCCTGTTCATTTTGTTGTCAGTCATGACACCCAGGTCTCATTCAGTTGTGATGCTGGCAAGCATAGCACTGCCAAGCCTGTAAGTGTGTTGTAGATTATTTCTCTTCAGATGGAGTACTTTACATTTCTTCATATTAAACATCAGGTTGAGGTCTGCCCACTTCACAAGCCTGTCTGGGTCAGCCTGTATTGCTAGCGTGTCTTTGAGCATGACCATGCTCCCCCATAGTTTGGTGTTGTCAGGGAACTTTGCTAGTTTGCTTTTAAGACCCTAATCCAAATCATTGAACATGTTGAAGAGAACTGGTCCAGGTACTGAACCCTGAGGGATGCCACTCATCACCTTCCACCACGATGACTCAGTTCCATCAATCAAGATCCTTTGGGTCCTACCATGGAGCCAGTTACCTAGCCACCAGACAGTAAAATTGTCTAGGCTGCATTTTCCCAATTTAACCATGAGGACATCATGGAAGACCAGGTCAAATGCCTTTTTGAAGTCCAAGTATATAATATCAACCTCATTTCCCCTATCCAGGTGGCAAGTTATCTGATTGTAGAAGGATATGAGGTTGGTCTGGCATGACCTGCCCATAATGAAGTCATGTTTGCTGTCCTTCAGAATATTGCCTTCAGTTTGCCTGTCTGTGATGGATTCTTTGATAATTTTCTCCAGGATTTTACCAGGTATTGAGGTCAAACTGTTTGGCCTGTAATTTCCCCAGTCCTCCTTTCTCCCTTTCTTAAAGATAGGCATCACATTAGCCTTCTTCCAGTCTTCTGGGACCTCTCCTGAGTGCCGCAGGTCTTCAAATAACTTTGCCATAGGTTGCACAATGATGTCAGCCACTTCTTTTAGCACTTTTGGGTGTAGTTCATCTGGTTCTTCTGACTTGTAGATATTTAGCCTTTGTAGGTGTTCCCCCACAAGATTTACACCGACTATAGGAGGGTGGTCACCCTCACCATGATCATCCTGTATTCTGTCAAGCAGGCTAACACCCTTGGACTGGTGGAATATCGATGTGAAGTATTCATTCACGGGTTCGGTTTTGTCCTGAGTGTTGGTTATTAGCTCTCCTATTTCATTCTTCTTGTACTGATTCAGCTTGCTTCATTCTTCAGAGGCACATAGTCACAGAAGTCAGCCCAGTTAGCTTGGAGCAATACTACACCTGGAAAGTAGGCAGACACTTATATTTGATCAGAAAATACCCATCTAGTCTTAAAGGGATTGGACAAACCATAACTTTTACAGTCCCGTGTCCAAAAAGGCTGCAGTTAACAACAATACATCTTGTTTTACACATTTCATGAGGGTGTTCAATTTGATATTGTTGGGAAGACTCTTAATGTGTTGACTTAACCCCTTCAGAAAGTAAAATACAGATAGATTGCTCAGGATATTCTGAAAACCATAACTACTGCTGAAGAAGAAATTGCCAAGTAGTACTAATAGTTTCAAAATAATGCCAAAGGTTCATCAAAGAGGTTTGATTCTTTTTGCTTCTAGCTCTCTTTAGCTGGACAAGAATAATGACACATCTATCATGCTTATTGTTTTCTCTTCAAATGGAGTGTTCTGTGTATCTTTCTTTGCTATATGTAAAAAATTCCAGTTGAGTTCAAAACTTTGACCCTGTAGTTTTTTTGATAAATGATTTGGTGACTAAGGGAGTGCAAAAAAAAATGTCCACTTTTTCATTAAGTCATATGCTTTTGGTTGTATTTTTAAAAGTCTTCAGTTAGATAGATAAAGTACACTAAAATCTTCTGTTACATAGTTGTTTTCCTGAACATCAGGCATGTGCTGTGTAAAATGAAGGGAGAAATAATTGATAAATGATTATCAAGTGGTGTTTTTGTTGGTTTGTATTACTGCTCAAGCTGCTTTAATGTTGGCACATAATGTTGCATTTTCACTGGAAAGCAATGTTTAGTTATTCTAATTGGATAGTCCCTGGAGAAAGGATATTGCTTGGTACAGCTGTGGGGTTCAATCCGGCTCCAGGTGAACCTAATTGGACTCACAATTTTGACTTCTCTGAAAAAGAATGATGTCCCCAGTGAGCTGTGCTACAAAGTGCTGACTCTGACCCTTACCCTGTCATCTCCCTTTTAAAATCACTAGCTACATTATTTAACAGGTGTGTGCTGCTTGTCATTCTGTTATTCTTGCTAATAGTTTCCCTAAGGGTCTGGAAGATGTTTCAAAATACCCTGCTTTGATTGAAGAGCTTCTCAGAAGAGGATGGAACGAGGCAGAACTGAAAGGGATTTTAAGGGAAAACTTTCTCCGTGTTTTCAAGGAGGTGGAAAAAGTAAGATTGAAATAGATAACAACTATTTTGGTCTCACCATTGAATATTTGGTTCTTATGAAAGCAGAGATGAAAACATAGCTTTTGGAATCACACTTTTTGCTGTGGAGGAAAAATATGAAAAAAGACTAGGGATTTAGTAATGTGATACCAAACAGTACAAAAAGACAAGAATGGGGACAAAATAAATGGGATGGAAAGAGAATATTCTTTGATTCTTTGCCAAATTACTTCTCTATTTTCTGCCTATAAATATATCAGTATGAGAGCTACCACTTCAATTATGCTCACTAGGCAAGTCTACATGAGCTGCTTTACTGCACACAGGCGTTTGTACACATCCAGTTTTTTGCCCTTTCGTGTGCTCCAATAGCGTGACTGTTTGCACGAGTGGGTTTTACGGATGCTTTAAAAGTCTTTATGGTGCATTAAAGTAAAACTCCTTGGACGTAGTTTAGTTTGGCTCACTGCGAATTAAAGTATCGCGTCCATTGATTTGTTACGCACAAAGACACTCAAAGACATGTAATGAGCCTCTTTTTCTACCAGATGTCTCTTTGAATTGCAGCTGCCCCATTTTGATAAATCAGTGTAATGTGTTTCCCTGAACACCAGGTGTAGCATGGCAGATGCAGCAGTCCACCCAGCCCCACGTACATCATTGTTCATTCTCCTACACTGACACCCACGGAGGGACACCCCACCACTCACGCCCAGGCCATGCCCTGGATAGAGTGACAATGGCACCATTACCCCATTACCTGCCCCTGCCCCTGACTGAACACAGCCTGTAGCTGCTGCTTTTTTTTTTTTTCTTTGTGCTGTGTGCTGGCTCCCGGCCACACCATTCGCAATTGCACAAGGTCACCCCATAGTCAGAAAGACCTATGGCAGCCAGCAGCTCTTAAATGAGAATGGCACAGTTACTACATAGCCTGCCCCAGGTTCAGTCCAGGAATGAACCACTTGCATGCGTACAGGATAGGGGGTGGGAGGGCATGGACTGCTTTCATTTCCCTTTCAGTCAGACTCAGCTAAATGGTACACACCTTGTGCATGCATGCAGCCCATAGCTGCCCCCTTTTCTTTTGTGCTGGGTGCCACACCTTTCATGAGTGCACAGGGTTATCCAGTCCCCCATTTAGACTCATGGCAGCATGCGAGATAGTGCTAGGAGTGGGCAGGCACCAGCTGCTAAGTACAGCCTTCCCATAGCTCCCAGGTTCCCTTGCACTGCCACATCAGTCATGATTGCACAGTCTCACCCCATCCTGCTGGCCGTAACTTCTGACAGCAGCCCTGGCCCTGGCAGTGCCCATCACTCCCAACCTGTAGTCAGTGCACCCATCACCCCTTCCATAGGTGGATTAATGCATGGGCCAGCTGGTCCCAGGCCTGAGGGGCAGCGTGTCCCACTCTGACTGCTGCTGCTGTGGTGCCGGCCCGAGACAGGGCCAAGAGCTGCGGGGCAGGACATAGGAGGGTGCACAGGGCCCCAAGGAATCTTAATCTGTCCCCCCCCCCCCCCCCCCCACCCCCTCCCACGCATGTTGCTGCTTGGGGATTCACTGGATTTTCCAGTATTGGTTAAATGACCTTCCCTGATGTTTCAAACAAATGTTTGTTTGCAAGTGAGGATAGCAGACACATTTAAATAAAAGGAAACAGATAATTCTCTTTTACATAATTAACCTTTAGTGATTTATTCACCCTAATTTACATAAATAACAATCCAACCATTACAGAAATTTCAAGGTAAACAATTTACAAGAAGCAGTAAGCACTGTTCAGCTTAGTAAACCTGTGGAACCAAGTGATATAGTTACATTTGGGGAAAAGCGAACACAGAGGGGACCCCAGAGCCATTGGGGCAGAGAGCAAAGGGAGCAGGCAGACAGACCTACACCCACAACTCCCCCCCACCATGCACCCAACTGACACCATGACATGTGGGGAAAAGCGATCAGGAGCTCTCTGCCCCACTGGCCATGGGGTGCCCTCCATGCTTGCAGGTAACAGCCAATAAATAGAGGCAGCAGGCAGGCAGACAGACCTAGAACCACTGCCCTAAGCTTGCAATTCCAGGTTATAAAAGACTATTTTGTTCAATATGAAAGGCAGCTACTTGGGAAAATTCAGTCTACAACTCTTGTGAAGTAGCAAATGTTAGTGAATGGCAACAAAGATGCTGTGAGTTTTAAATGAAAGATACACAAGAAAAATTCAAGAACCTTCAGGAAAAGATGGCAGAATTACTACAGTGGCTTCATCCAGTGACTGATAATTAATTCAGATATGTATTATTAATGAGCTTTTGGTATTTTTCCATAAGAAGGAATAAGTAGGATTGCTCTTGGATGAAGCAGTTTGCAAGGCAGGGCTTGAGGCACTTTTTGTACCTGTTTAGAAACTATTTGCCTTGAGGAGAAGAAAGTGATTTTTTTTCTTTTAATAACCTCTGGTGCTCTTTGGAATTTTATCCTGTAGGAAAGATTTTCTGGGGACCTTTTTAAAACAATGATAAGAGCATAAGCATCATAGCCCACTGGCAGAATAATATTGACCTGCTAACAGTTTTAACTTTATCATGTAATTACACATTTTTTTTAATATTATACTTGTTGGATATTTTTAAATGGTTATTTAAAGCCCATACATCTCCAGATCTTCATGGAGGATGGGCACTTTCATTTTACATTGTCCCAGGACCGGATTTTAAAAATACCTCATGTTCTTTAACCAGTAGGTACCAACAGTGCTAGAAGACAAAAATTAAAATATAGGTTGGATTCTGAGTTGACCTCCAGCATGTGGGGGAAAAGCAGAAGCCAACTGTTTTATTTATCCTTTTTACTTATTTATCATTTTACCGTACTATATTTACTGCCTTTACTTGCAAGCAGGGATGGCACTCCATGGCCAGTAGGGCAGAGAGCAGAGGTAGCAGAAAGGCAGACAGACCTAGAACCACCAACCCCACTAACCCCCACCATGCAACCAACCAAGTAACAGTAACAGCGATCAGGACCTAAGAGATTTATTGGCCATTACCATGTGTCCACCATGCATGGTTTTTATGGACAGTATGTGTAGGAGCATTGCAAGTTAACACTGACATGCCTCAGCCACACCACACAGGGAGTGATGGCATGTCTGGGTGTTGTTCTCAGGCTTTGTACATGGTCTGCTTTTCTCCTGTAGTGGTAGTGGCAGTGGCAGCAGTGACAACGTATAAATCAGAGCTGAAAACAGGAAGGAATGTGCGTGTGTGGGGGGTGGTATTAGATGAGCTCTGAACACCTGAACAGTATTCACAAGCAAGCACAGCCCCCATGCTTTGCATTGCCCTTCACCTTCCTGCACGACAATCAAATCCCTCCACCTGTCTATTTTGTTGTCAGTTGAAGTAAACTATGCCCCCCCCACCCAATATCATGTCACTTGTCTGCAATTGCCCATCCCACCACTCTTCCACCCCCCAGCAGAGTCCAGCCCAATCTCAGGTATCATTTCATATGTTGGGATGTCAGTTCCCAATGACTAGACATACTGGTTGTGGAGGATGATGTCCCCATAGCACCCCCGTCATGATGCCCTCTTGCAACTCCATGTTGGAAAGCAGCTCTCATATTGGACTTCAGCCTGCACTTGAGCGCTGTCTTGTTGTGCCCCTGCTGGGCAACTCTCCTTGGAGACATCCTTATGGGACCACATTGCCTTAGTCTTACACACCCTGGCTCGCGGTCTTCTTCTGTCTCTGGCCGGCTGACTTGTCTCCTCAGCCTCAGACATCTTGGATCAATATGGTGTACCTGTACCCCGACCACTGCTCCCTCAATTTATAGGTCTGCTGTTCAGAGGGTCAGAAAAAGTTCACCCTCCCCCCAACCTCATTTCAGTGCAAAAAAACCTGTCAGTGCAGACATACTGGTAACATCCTGGCAATTGCTTTGCAAAACGGCGCCAAAACTGTGTGGAAGAAATGGGCATGTACTGGTAGGCATGCCAGGGAGGGTCGCCAGTCATAATTGCACAGTCTCAGCTCACAGTCAGCCCAGCCCCCCCCCCCCCCCCCCCCCCCAACTGAAACAGGGCCTGCCAGTGGCACAAGTGGAAAAAATTCCCATTCCTTGAAACTTACAAGTCCCCGGTTCAGAGGACCGGGCTGGCATTGGCTATGGTAGCTGGTAAGTTAAAGGCAAACAAAGTGTTTATGGTATGGTGAAATATCCTTTACCCACCCTCACAAGGGGACGGTGACCCACTTCCAGCGCTACATGCACTAACCCCTCAACACATGCAACCCACAGGTACCGAAAGTGCCTGCTAAAGTGGCCCAAATGGATATAATGCCCATTCCCCAATACTTACAAGTCCCCGGTTGTGCATCCTTTTGCATCACGGGAACAGAAACCATTCTTTGGGTCTCTGGAGGAACCTCTGATGCAGGAACTGCATCCAAAGTAGTTTCCTCCTCCTCCTTCTCCTCATCTGTGCTACTCCTTAGAATTGGAGGGGAGATTGGGGTCATGATCAGGGTCACCTCCTCTTGGGCATCCCTCTCATCCAGCACCATGGAGCAGTTGCTCCACTGTTCTGACATGGTCACAGTTTCCCACTCAGGACACTGAGGCTTCTTCCATAGGTGTCCTCTCCAGGACAATGCCAGTTCCAAACAACCAGAGACAGGAAGCTTTGCCCACATCCTTGGAGAGAATGATGGACAGCTAGTCATAGAAAGGAACAATTGTGCACCCTGCCCCAGAATGAGAGTGCTCATCCTTGGCCTGATGAAATGCACATCTCAGGGCCTTGATCTTGCTCTGGCACTGTGTCCAGTCCTGGTTGTGCCCTTGCACCTGCATTTCTTTTGCTATTGCGGTATACATCGGCTTATTCCTCCTACTTTCCAGCTGCTCTATGATCTTTTCGTCTGACCCAATGTCAGTCAAGTCCTTCAGTTCTTCCCAGGTCCAGTTGGGGCCCTGGTTGATGGATGTATTAGCCTTCTGTTCTGTTGCCTGCATACTGCTGGACTTGGTTTTCTGAGACATTGGGGAAGCTGTTTGTGTCCAAGAAGTTGTCAAGACCAACGTATTCTGACAACAACTGAGTCACGACAGGTCACTGGCAAACTTGGCAGGGCTCTTATATAGACTGTGCCCGCCTGGCCTTGAACATTTTGTTCCGTGCAGCTTTGGTTTGGGTGCCACCGGAATCCGCCCTGCCATTGCAGGTTGTCCTTCGAGGAGGTGTTTACTCACGATGCAGTCCACCCCTTTCTCGCCTGCCATGACTTTGAATCTTCTTCAGTGGGGGGGCTCAGTACCGCGCAGTCTCCCTCGCTGGCCGCTTGTTCCTCTGGCAGTCTTATGCAAGGCTCCACCTTCCCTCTACCTTGCCCTATACCCAGCCTGGCGGGTCACTGCTGGTCCTGCGGCCAATCTCGTGAACCGCGGGTGTCTTTCAATCTATAAGTGCACCTCTCCTCTCCCTGTTCTCATCGCTCCCCTCTACCTCAACCCCTCCTATTTTATAAACCTATTTAATTTAATAAGGATTAAACCCTGTGACATGTACAGGTGCCCCACTAGACTAATCACCATTGTAAATCATCATTGTCTATGTGGCATTTATACACATACCTTTTCATCCTGTGACAAGCCGGAGATCCAGTGGGTCAGAGCAGACTTGATTAATCGAGTCTGCTACACACAGCAGCTGATGTGTACTGCACTGTGGTGCGTGCAGCTGTATAAGAGGCAAAATGTGCATCAGCACGCAGAAAATGGAGGCAGTGTGCTTTTAAACTAAAACACTTTTGAGGTGTTTTAGTTCAAAAGCATGCACTTTTCTCAGCGCTGACATGTATTTTGCCACTTATACAACTGCATGCGCCACAGCACTGGGCACTTCTAAAAGCAGCCACTGCTGCGGCACAAGCATGTGTACAAATGCCCTACGTGCATGGCACTTAGTGTGCATTATATTAGTCTAATGCACTGTTTTCTAGTACACATGACAGTGTTCTCCTTCACAATTTTTGGCCCCAGCATTGAGAGGATGTGATTAAAAGTCTCCCTGGTCATTCAGAACATCTCAAGCCACTGTTGATTGTCCCAAGTGGTCTGTACGTTTCATTCCCACAAGTCTGAGCTGCTCACATGGGCCCAGACCCTGTGGTTGCTGCTCTTGAGGGTGATTCAGAGAGCCCTGTCAGCATCCACTTCTGCACCTGCCTCTTGGCTATCCCGCTCCACTGCACATCTAAGTGTCTTTTTTCATGAGGCACATCTACATGCAGGCATTTCATTATAAGTGTTTAGAAGCAGGAACATAGCGTATGCTGCTATCATTAGCTCTGCCTCTATTTTATGCAATAACCCCAAGGCCAACAGCAGGATATTTAACAACAGTTCCTCCTCCTCCTCCTCCTCCTCCTCCTCCTGCTCCTGCTCCTCCTCCTCCTCCTCCTCCTCACCCATGTCATCCAGATTCTCCATTTCAGCCTCCTCACTCATTTTGTCACTATTTTCCATGTCCCTGTCCTCATGCATTTCATCTGGAATCTCCATTTGGTCCTCCTCACTCATCCTGTCTGGATGCCACAAAGCCAGGTCGTTTGCACGTATGCAGCAGGGATGCTTCTTAGCACACAGCACCACCACCAAGCAGCGGGGTACATGGGAGTGGGGCTCTGAATGGTAATGGGAGCTGCATACAATCATTTAGCATTGCAAGTGACCTCCTACCTGCATGTCAGTAATTATCCTGGTCAAGTGTCTGTGTCCTGGGTGTTGGTGCAGCAGAGCCTTTTCCCTTTACTGTGGTGGGTGGGTGTGGGGAAGGTTATGTACTTCCTGAACACTTCAAACTCAAATGTGGTGTTTAGGATGACCCCTGGAGCCCATGCATGTGCCCTGGGTTCATGATACTGTCTTTTACCAGATCAATGAATAGGCACACCTGGAAAATGGGAAATAGTTCTCAGGTGTGCCTACTCATTCTTGGGTTATTGTCCTTTGAAAGAAGCATCTCACCAGAAAACAGACCTGACCTGCAAGAACCCTGTTTTTAAACAAACATCTCCCAAGAAAAGAGCCTTGCCCCACAGTAGCTCAGGTTTGAAAGAAGCATGTCTCCCCAGAAAAGAGCCCAGGCCTGCAAAAACCCTGGTTTGAAAGCAACCTCTCCCCAGGCACAATTGCCTGATTGGGAACAGGGTCCAGCTGTTTATTATAAGAACAGGCCTCGAGCAGTAGAGCCAGAAGTCTGTTGCAAGCAGTTGGAGAGAGAGCATCACCTGACTGGAGCTGTTGCTCATCACATCAGGAACCATCTAATTCAGGTGCATTAATTGCACATGTAGACATGTCCAGTGAGACCATAATAAGCACTGACTGTTAAGACTTACTTGAGACTTCACCTTAGGTGGACAAGTAACAAGAAGGACACCAAACATTGCCAGCTCATTGGTCACTCAGTGAGCTATAGATGGATAAGGTGGAATTTCAAATGGGAAGAGAAAGAGGATGAGTAAGAACAATATTAAAGTCTCTTAATGACAGCCTTTAAAAATATCCAGAGACCAAGGATGGACTTGCAAGTCTGTCATTTCAAACAATTTTCTATTTATGTATGGACAATAAATATTGCCTCTGTGATAAACAACAAATATTTTGCAAAGGCAACATTTTTCAAGAGTCTTTACATGACAAGTGAGGTGACAAGAATTTTGTTCAGTTTCAAGTCATCTGATAAACAAGGTACATGCCTGATGTTGAATGTATTGCTGGGTGCCTCAATCAGGATTGGACTTAACACATCTTTCAGTGGCCTAAAATAATTTGGAAGGTGAACATTTGCTAATGAAAAGAAATTCAGGGCTTTTATATCATGACTGAGAACAGACTATGAAGGTGCATTTACAGGTGCAATTAATATGAAGCAATAAACTGGTGCATATTGTACTGTAGCTTATTGCTCCTGGGCATTATGTTTACACATGCACTGGAGACTACTGCATGTTGAACTGGGTTGAAACAGGCCTGGCTGGCAGGGAGCCCAGGAGTCAGCCTGCCAGCACAGGGCTGCTCTGACCCGGCTCAACATGCTGCAGAGAGGCTGGCTGGGGCACAAGGATGTTTCAGTGTGGGGCTAGCCGGTAGGCAGCTCCTATACTGAAGCACTCTTATGCTCCAACCAGCTACATCAGCATCTACACATGTGCTGCTGCACAGTAAACAACATGACCACAAGATAGAACTTGTATGGCATACTTATTAGTCTACTGTGACCAAATAGGGGCACACATGTAGATGCTGAAATTTTACTGCAGAACTAATTAGGCAGCTCCGCAGTAAACATCTTATGTAGATGCATACTATGAAGACTATTGTGAAATTCAGTGATTTTGGGGTTTTTTGAATTTTGCAATGGAGGCATCCACAGGTCTTATGGGCAAATAGTTTGACCTGTTAAAAAGATGAATCTGAGACTCTTCACCTTGTTGTATGCCACAAAGGGCTCAGGGAAATTCAATGAAAGTCTTTTTGTATTCAGTGAAAGTCATAAGTAGTGCAACCAAGGTTCTGGTGGATTCAGACAACTAAGTTGTTTTTCTGTTTCTGAAATGGATGTTGCAATACCACTTTAGAAATGGTTCACTTGAAGCAATATCAAATGTTCATTTACCCAGCAGACTGAAACTCTTCTAGTGTATTACAGATTTTCAGGACAATGTTGTTTGAATTTCTCCAGGTGCAGAGAGACAGTAGATCAATGAGTGTGAATGAAGATGAAATACAACCAAAAGAAGTACAAAATTCCTGTCGTCTGGACTTAACATATAGACCGCATAAACCTACTCCATTTTTGGAAGCCCAGCCAGTTAGCACTTCCTCTGGAATTCCTTCTGTGTTGTGGTCATCTTCTTGTCTAATGTTCCTTAGTGTAATATGTATGATAATATATTAAGAGTTATAAAATATCATGGTTCAAAGAGTTTCTGAATATTCCACAGAATACAGATATACTTTGCAGAATTAGGTTCCTCGCTAGCACTCTTCCTACCCCAAGCAAAGATGAGGGTTTGCAAAAGAATTGGGGACATACAGAGCTGGCTGCAGCAAGCAGCTGCACAAGAACCAATGAAATGGTTTAGCAGCTGTTTGATGTAGCTTTTATTTAATAGTTTATACTCTCCCAATCAAAGACATTTGCAGATAATGACAACTCATAAAGCTGGACTCTATATAAAAAAAAAAAAAAAAAAAAAAAAAAAAAAAAGGAAAAAAAATTTTTGTTTAAAAAAAAAAAAAAAAAAAAAAAAAAAAAAAGAGAGAGAAATATTGTGTATCTCAGAGAAAAAATTATGAATTGGCAACATTGTAAGATTACTTTGTTGATGTGCGCAGATCTGTTATCCCTCATATCTGCTTTTTATTATGGCTTGTTTATATAGCTGCTCCAGTCTGGTTGCTACATATTCCACAGTTTGGTTGAATTATAGTATCAAGCAAAGGTCTGCAACTGGAGAGCTGTCTTTATAACAAACACATTTAATAATTATAAAGAGGAAGCTGATAATTACTGAAATGCAAACAGCAAATAAAATATTTCCTAGTTCAGAGTAAAGCTCCTCTGCAGGACATGTACAATGGGATGCTGGACCTAGACAAAGTTCTTTAGTACAGCTTTAATACAAACCTCTCTGGAGTGCATATCTGTTTTAGCATTTCTGCTTAGACATAAAAGTCTGCACAAGTATGCAGCTAAAGCCATATATCCTACAACCTATATCCCTGAAGGCATATATTGCATTTCCAGCTCTGCTACTGAATTTGTGGTTATGTTAAAGTCACTCTATTTGTCTGCTATTTAAGATACTCAAAATAGTTGTTTCATTTTCTATATAACTTTGAAATTATAAAATGCTTCATAGGATTTCACCCTCTCTTCTTCCTTTCATATGTGATTTTTATTCACTTATTAAGGACTGTGCACACTGCAGTACTGTATTCAGAATGCATTCCCATTCCTATTCAAAAATTGGCCCAGTAGCACTTCTGGCATAAATTTGATACTGTCTTTTCAGATATCTGTAGTTTATTTGCTTGCTTTTGCCACAGTGTATAGTCTTTGGTGATGCCTGCTATGTGCAGTAAATAATCCTGCTGCAAATTTGTATACAGAAGCAAAATATATAGATGAAAAATTAAATAAAATGTGATTACATTAAGATTCACTGGTTCTTGGTTCTGTCTAGCTGAAAAAATGCAAAGTTCAGGGCTATGAAAGGCTATGAAAGTAGTGAATTAGCCACAACTCTGCTCCACAAGGGATTGTACCCACTGTGCAATGCAGCACAGCAAGATCAGGGATTGGGGTGCAGTGGTATAGAGAGAGGTGTTGGTGGCTATTAGGATGTAGCCCTTGCACAAGGCCATAGCTGCTGCTCCTACTTGTTGCAGTGATCCACACTTGGAAAGGATTGTTACCAACATGACTAAACCAGGTCTGTGCAGGGAACAGGCCTGCCCAGAAGTCACTGTACTGAATCCATGTCAGCAACACCACCCCCTAGCAGAGGTGTAAACAGGAATTTTGATGCCCTGGGGAGGGAGGTGTTGAGTGCTGGAGTGTGTGCATGGATGTTGTTAAATCATTTGGCCAATGAATCTGAGACCTCAGAAAATATTGACCAATGACTACTTTTCATCAAAGCTGTTTTGTGGTTTAACTTTCCAAGCAACCATAATTGCTGCTGGAATTTTGCATACAGAAAATGGATATCCTTCACCAAGTAGTAAAAGCCATTTGTGACAGTAATTTGTGACAAGGGGACATTGTTTTACAGTATTGGGAACTGGCAGATTCTGTTGCAATCCATAATGTTAGGGAAGTAGTGCTAGACAAGCAATAGAAGACAATCAGCTAACATTAAAATAATATCCTTTAATGTCTTGTCATCTACCAAATTAAAACATACGAAAACTCCATAGCAAAGACTGAGTTATGCTGATGTGAATTCTGGGAATAATTATTCCTAGTGAAGTGAAAAATCCAAGTTGATTTATTGTAAAGCAGTTAAGTTTTGTGAATAAAAGAGTTTCCATAACCTATTCAAAGTCTGTTCCAGTCATTCAGCTCATGAGTTCACGTGCATCATAGACGCACTAAAAAGCTATAAGCAAAACTTTAATGCAAAAATATTGATTTGACTCTGAAGGACATCACTTACCTTCTGCCAGTATAATTGGTTTTCAGAGCTGCTGACTGCAGGGCCCACAAACATAAATAACCACCATTATCAGCCACCACCTCTGAGGAATTGATGATGTCACACACCAGCCCTCAAATCTGCTCCTAGATATTTTAAAGAGCTGATTTGACACATGAAGTCACAGTATTTCAGCTCATGTATTTGACTTTCATTGATTTCATTAAAAGTGTGGACCCTTTCAAAAGCTTAAGGGGGTTCATGAATATTCAGGTAAGTGTCAGTGGTGCCTGGCAGTTGCATCCTCACATGGCAGAGAGATACTAAATAATGCAGCATCACATTCAGAAATCTTAAGGTCAGGAAAAATTGACTGTTAATTTTTATCTTATCTTCTGAAAAATATGGACTGTAGAATTTTACCCTGTACTTCCTGTATCAGGACCCATAACTCTTAGCTAAACTGAAGTACATCCTTTTGAAAGGCATTTGCACTATATTTACAACTGAACCTTGTCTAGCTTAAACTTTTTAATAAGCATTGAATCTTATCATTATGATCATTGAAGCTTCTCAGTACGCTTTCATTTTATAACAGACCTCTCCTTCCTTATATATACTTCGAGGTTAGGACATGTTCAAGTTATCTCTGAATAGTCTTTGAAAAGCTATTAGATAGCCCATTAGATATGGTTACACTGGAGAGGATCTGTCAAACAATAATGATTTTAATGTCCCAACTGCATTTGTTGAATTTGTCACAGACCTAGAGTAGTTATACAAACTGTGCTACACAAACTGAGTTATTTCCAATACTTTTTTTGACACTGGCTAAACCTTTCTGGAGGTGTGGCAGAGCACCTTGGGTGCTTGCCACTTTAAGGGCTAAGATCAAGCAGCAGAGCAGCCTGCAGGTGGCTGCACTCCCCAGTCAGGAGTCACATGGCTGGCAGGGAACTGCCTGATTGGGAAAGAGGGCTCAGCTGCTGTCAATAAGAGGAGGCCTGAGCAGGGAAGCCAGCAGTTTGCTGGCTGCAGCCATAGGGTGAAAATCGCTTGGCTAGAGCTGCTGCTTGCAACATCTGGGAGGTAAGGGCAGGAGCTATGGGGATGCTCCTGGTCCTGGGGAATGACCAAAAGCTACACCCTGCTAGGGTAAGATGGTGTGGTGGGTCTGCCTGTGGCAGGGTGATCCTCAGGAAAAGCCACACCAGTTGCCTCCCTAGTGAAAGGCAAGTAAGGGGTACTTTATAGCCCCAGCTCCCCACAACCTGGTGGGTAGCCCAGATGTAGGGACAGGCATGGAGACAGGCACATCTAGGGAGAGGCACATGAGTCTCATGGGGTATAAAACCCTGGTGGCCCCAGTGAGAGGGGGCAGAAGAGTGACCCCAGTGGGGGGCAGACGTATATGTAGAGGCCTGCACAGAGTAGGGTTCATGGTGGTGGCATGAAGGGCTGTGCATGAGGGGTGCAGAGTAACGTCTGCTGAGGCAGGCCTGAAAGGCTGCACCAGGGGCATGCAGAGTAGGGTTGCAGGGTTACCTGAAGGACTGCACACAGGCCAGCCCCATAAGAGTGATAACTTAAGTAGGAGGCCCAGTGAGAGGGCATAAGTGGGAGACCCTAGTATGAGGGCAAAAGTTGAAGCCCTAGGGAGTGGGCAGAATGGCCAAGATAAGTCTACATATGCCTGAGGCCACAGTTGGTCCCCAGTAAGTCTTCAGACATTGTGAGGTTGAGTTTTGGGTCAGAAGGAGACCCTACTAAGTCCTCAGATGTTGTGAGGCCAAGTTTGGGTCAGAGGTTAAGAACTTTGGATGCCATCTGCGAAGCATGGGACATGGTATAGGGAAGGTTGAAGCCGTGTGTAACATCCTAGGCATTGGGGCATTTAATGGGCAGCCTCCTGCATTTTTATACCAAAAATGTATACAACTAGTTGTGGCAGATGAGACAGGGCAGACTGGCCCAGATAGGTGGGCAGGCCAAAGATGAGACTGGGTCCTGAGATGGCCCCCTGTCACAGGGAGCTTGAGATTTTGGTAGGTTTGAGATAAAGTAAGTATTTTCAAGATCTGGCATCCTCACCTATAGACCTATAGACTTTACTTTTATGTAGAACTGCTAGAGCTGATGAGTACTTGGACCTTTGCACATAAAATGGAATTCTGGGAGTTCTGCATAGCCATTTTTGGAAAACATGGAAAATACCTCAGCAAACTCTCAAGCTGACCTATGAGATTTAATGAGAAGATTTTTTATTAAATATTTTTTGTTGGAAAAGACCCTTCATCTAAGCTAAAACTTTTTGTGAGAATGTATTGGTTTCGATAAAAATGTTTGTGGATTAAGCTTCTTTGTGTCTATGATACAGTTTCTGGTCAGAAAGAGAGAAAATGCCCCAGAAAAAAGATAGCCTGTTAATTAGGTACTTAGCTGACATATAGGAGACCCATGTTCAAATTTGTGTTCTAGAACAGACAGAGGAAGGACTTGAATCTTGCTTTCCTGCATCCCAAGTGACTGTGCAGGTTCTTCTAATTTTTTTGTACATAAAGGTCTCTCTGTCTCTCACTCTCTCCACTGATAGGTCTTCCTTTCATTCTGATGTGGAACAAGGTGAGATTTTTGGAATTACAAATTTTAGGGGGACAGGAAACCATTTACTGACTAGCTGTATATTTTACAGTTGCCCAGGATAATACCATTTGGGGCTAGCCATTTTACCTTACTTTGTGATCCTTTGTACATTTCTTGCACCTTATTTAAATTTGAAATAACTGTGTGGTGTTGGGACTGTGCAGTAACAACTGCGCAGCTGGCCGCTCATATAGATGTATCCAGTATGTTTTAGTCTGAAAAAATCATTACAAATTCTAATGCTTATTGTAGTGGTTTCATTCTAGAAAATAAACTGGGATGCACGAGAATACAGATTTTCTTACAAGGTTTCTGGAACTTCTGGTTGTAGTTGTCAGGAGCCAGAAAAATGTTTTGGCAAATGGCTTACATGGAACCTGGCATGTACTCCAGGCTTACTCAAGGTTTATTCCCCTTCTACTGC